GTTTCTTTTATACAGGAAGCAAACCACCTCCCTAAAGCAGCTACTCAGCTGCTCCAATACATTCCACCATGGAAATAATTACCAGTCTTACCATGGGGAATAACTACATCCAGCTGCCCAGCTACTCAAGCAGGCCTACCCAAGTTGACACACAAACTTAACTACCACAGTGGGTTACGGTTGGGGATGGTAACTGGGGAGTGAAACCAAATGTACACGAAATGTTGAATGTAAAACAAACTCTGCTCTGGAAATTTGCACCTAAAGCACAATTAAAAAAAAAAAAAATGCTAAAACCACTCCATTTCAGCTCACTAATGCTTAGGATATTGATCTTTATGCGTTCCATTTCATTTACAGGTATAGGGGCCAGGATTCCATTATTTACATTTGGGGACACAATTCAATCCATAACTGGTACTGAGAGTGGCTTTAGAGAAATAAAATAATTAAGGATGAATTCTCTGAACTTCTTTTGGGGTTTCTGGAATTGATTCTTAAGTCTGGTTAAGACCCTTATGTCTCAGTTTCCAGAAATAAAGATAGCACAGGTGGTCCAAGATGTGTAAAATATCACCATTGGACACGACTAGGCAAATACCTATGAGAGACAAGATTCTGAGTGACCACGTATTTGATACCTTAGAATATTTTTGCGAAACTCAAAAGTATAATGCCATTGACTGGTTGCCCTTACTTTCACTAGACAAAGTGGGGGGTATGGAGGAAGGTGAAGTCAGGGCTTCAAATTCCTAGCTCAAGCACTGCATGAAAGCAAACCTAACCCATCAATTCTGGCAACCCATGTATTACATAGTAGAATTGAGCTCTGTAGGGTTTTCTTGGCTGTAATCTTTTTGAAGCAGATTGCCAGGCCTTTCTTCCACATCACTGGGTGAGTTTCAACTGCAAAACTTTTGATTAGAAGAGAAGTACAAATTGCACTACACAGGGACCTTAAGCTCTGCATAAATGACCTGAAAGTTGCTATGTGTGCCCTGAAAGGAAACCTTATCGCCTACAGCCATAAGACAGAATAAGAGAGAGAGAGGGAGATTGAGATTTACACCAAGGAGTTGGCTCATGCAATTGTAGGGGCTAGCATGGTGAGTCCAAAATCTATAGGTCAGGCAACAGACTGGAAACTCTTGTAAACTTTTGTCTTGAGCTCCTTAGGCTAGGCAATGCAAAGAGTGGTGAGATGGAATTTCTACCAAAATATCTATTTATAATGGTCTGGAGACCAAACACATGCTAGGAAACTCCCTTTTTACTGTTAAATCCTTCAACGGATTGATTGGTTATATTAGATTAGACTAATTGTGGAAGGTAATCTGCCTTGCTTAATTAAGACCCACTAGTTTAATCACACCAGGATAACACAAAACGTTAAGCACTCAGCTGCTCACTGAAAGCTGGGCAGTTCCAGTCTGCCCAGAGGTGCCTTAGAAGAAAAGTCTGGTGAGCCACTTTGGAAAAATCAGCCATTGAAAATGCCATGGAGCACTGTTCTGCTCTGACACACACGGGGTCACCATGACTGGGAATCTATGGCAACTGTTTTTTCAAACCATTCCGTAACAGCACGTGTAATTTCTCCATACAGTAACTAGACTAGTGTTTGTCTAGACAACTGGGAACCACAGCTTAGCCAAGTTGCCACTTAAAATTAACCATCATTCAGTAAACATTGCTAATTTGTGTCTTTTAGGGGTGTTGTGTACTTCATCTAAATTGTCAGATGTTTCTTTGGCATAAAGTTGTTTATAACATTCCCTTATTATTTTTTTTTAATGTCTGGTATCTATAGTAATGTTTCTCTTTCTCTCCTGATATTACTTATTTTTACCTTCTCTCTTTTTTTCGCCCTCATCAGTCTGGCTAGAGTTTTATCAATTTTGTTAATCTTTTCAAAGAATCTGATTTCCACTTTAAAACCAAAAACAAAACTCGCTGCCATCGAGTCGGATCCGACTCATAGCAACCCCTCCTTGGGTTTCCGAGGTGGTATCACTATGGAAATAGATTGCCCAACCTTCCTTCCAAGGAGTGGTTGGTGGGTTTGAACCGCCAACCTTCTGGTTAGCAGTGAAGTGCCTTAGGCACTACACCACCAGAGCTTCTAAATCCAGAAACACAATTTGCATTTTGTTGTCACATCCCTTTGTTGTTGTTGTTGTTGTTATGTGCCATCGAGTCAGCCCCGTCTCCTTTAATCTGGGACAGTTACTCAGTCTTCACTTGCTTTTCATGATACTGACATTTTTGAAGAATACAAGCCAGTTATTTTATAGATCACAGACTATGGCTTTTCCTGGTGATCAGATTTAGGTTATCACTTCTGAAGGCACACAGTATTTGCCCCTCGCTAGTGTTAGTTTTGATCACACAATCACAATGTTGTCTTCCCCTCGCTGCATTTTTTCCTATTTTTACCCTTGCAAGAAATGAGCAATCTGTGTGGAGACACTTTGAGCCCCTGTCAATATCCTTCTTTTCCTCAAACTTTACTTCCTAGCTATAGCATCTGTTGATGAGTCTTCCCTGAGTCAATCTTTCCTAAAATGTAGTGAAATGTTATTTTCTAATTCTGAGCTTTGGTAGTGTAGTGTCTAAGGCATTTGACTGCTAACCAGAAGGCTAGTGGTTCAAACCCACCAGCCACTTTTTGGAAGGAAGGTTGGGCAATTTACTTCCTTAGTGACACCGCCTCAGAAACCCAGGGAGAGGTCACTATGAGTCGGGTCCCACTTGACGGCAAATAACAACAGCCACTCCTACCCATGTTTATCACTTAGTTTTCTACCGTAAGAAAGAAGCTTTCCCTTATTAATTTATTTACTTACTTATTATCAGTATGGATTCATTGATTTCTATTTTCTTAAAACCAAGAAAACCAAACTGACTGGGGTTGAGTCACCTCTGACTCATAGCGACCCCTCCTTGGGTTTCAGAAGCAGTATCTCTACCAAAGTAGATTGCCCAATCTTCCGTCCCAAGAGTGGCTGGTGGGTTTGAACCACCAGCCTTCTGGTTAGCAGTCAAATGCTTTAGGCACTACACTGCTTAGTGGATTATAATTCATTACTATCATTATTTTGATGCTCAAATTTTACCCAATTGGTATGCCTTTAAGATGGTTCTTTTGTCTTTTGTACATGTTCCCACCATTTTATTTTCAGTAACTCTTCATTTTCTGATACTATGATATCATTTTTAATAGCTGAAAGATTAGCCATTGTTGATTAGCCATGGTATTAACCATACTCTTGGTTTTCTAATTCTGTGTTTTATTCAATGAACATTATAGTAAATGAATGTTTACACAAATCCAAAATGATTTACTTGGACAATTTCTAGAAGTGGATTTGTTAAATTGCCCTCCAGCTATCTTTTGCACCAGCAGTATATAAGAACACTCATTTTCATCACTCCCTTAGTTTGGGTAGAATTTTAATCACTCTAGGGTCTTAGTACTCAAAGTGTGGTTCCCATACCACACTTGGAGATGCAGAATCTCAGCCCCCACCCTAGACCTCCTAAATCAATATCTACATTTTTAACAAGCTCCCCAGGTAATTTATAGGTACATTAAAGTCTGAGAAGCAATTGTTATTCAGGACTAGGGTAATGTACACAAGACTCAAAAATTAAAGTGGTCCTAATCCCAGACAAGATAAATTCAGGAAGTTCATACTGGTATTTTATAAATAAAAAGTGAAAGTGGCAAAGAAGTAAAATGGGTGTTAAGAAAAGTGCTGATGTTGTAGAATGCATATATGTATCTTAAGCAAGCGGATTGTGGGGGTGCAGGACAATGTACTAACACTTGTTTCCCAAAAAAAACAAAGCTGACATTGTTTCTCCAGCCTCATCTTCTCCAACCCCGTCCCAATCACCCTATATACTGCCCATTGTTTTTCCTTTTGTTCGTTTTTTAGTGGTCTAAGGAACACAAATCAGAACCACTTGAACAGTGTGTTACAAGTGCAGACCCCCAAACTCCACTCCCAGAGATTCATTTCAGTAGGATGGGTATTATGCCCATGAATCAGTATTTTAAAAAGCATGTCAAGTGATTCAGATTCCCTGAAGTTTGAGAACCATTACACAACTACACTTCCCAGAACACATCTGGAATGTATTGTTGGAACAAATGTTTTATCGGCTTTAAAAGATTACTCCCATTTTTATCAAGGCTACATTTTTTTTTGTGGAAGGGTGTCAGTGGTTACATACTGATGTGAAATCTAAGTATGTTGTTGTTGTTGTTGTTACATGCCGTCAAGTCGGATCCGACTCATAGCGACCCCCCCCCCTTGGGGTTCCGAGGCAGTATCACTACGGAAGTAGATTGCCCAACCTTCCTTATGAGGAGTGGAATTATTATTTTTTAGCCCTCCCTAATTCTGCCCATTTCCTGGAGAAAGATGTCATGCTTGGTAAGGTGGAGCGTCCACGAAAGAGGCACAGGCCCTCAATGAGATGGATTGACACAGTGGCTTCTGTGATGGGCTCAAGTATGGCAAGGATCGTGGAGCTGGCACAGGACCAGGCGGTGTCTTGTTCCATTGTACATAGGGTCACTATGAGTCAGAGATGACTCAACAGCCTCTAACAACAACAACAATTCTGCCCATCAGCAAATCAGCTCAATGGCACCTAACAACAATAACAGTTCTGACCAACTCACCCTAAATCTGTGAGGATAGAGAGAAATAATCCTATTTGAACTCTCCTTCGCCCTTTTATCCCCTATGCTGGAGACTGCCTTCTCGAACAAATCCAAATTCTTTTCAGATCCTTCACCTTTTTGTTTTTCTGTCAATATATTTTAGTGAAAGAGGTTCATATTGTGTGGGAAGATTTTTTCATCAAGTATTTTATTATTATATTACAATATATTACTCTTATGTAAATATATAAAACAAATATATGAAAGTAATTATATACCTTAAAACTATTTTCAGTTTTTAAAATACAATTTTTTTTTAATATAGGAGGATCAAAGAAAAAAGGAAGCAGCACATAAAGAAGGTACTTTTTCTTAATACTTTCTTAGAAGAAATCTTCCTCACCTTATAGTAATTCATATGTTAAAGAATTAAGAGGCCATCCTAAATTTAAGTTCTTATTTGAAACCAGACTTACTGGATACACTGAAACTGGAGAAATCCCCAAATCTATTGCCTAGAAACAACTTGAAACTTAAGCCAAAACTAGTCCTGAAGTCATTTTTAAACAAAACAACAATTCAGTTCAATAAATAAAGCATGTCTGCCTTGAGCATTGTACACTATTGTAGAATTACCTACATGAGATGGAAATGACAGCAATTCACTCTAAAGCACAGAGGATAATTTCAAAGGATGGAGAGTATGTAGTAATAGTGGTGAAGCAATAAGGGCAGAGATAATGAGAATAGTGACACAATAGGAAGCATGCAACCATTGTCAATGAACTGTACATGTGGAAAAAAAAACACCTGAGGCTATCCTAAATGTTATCTATTTTTAAATGCCATGAAAATTCATTTTTATTATTTACATTGATTAGTCTCAGAAGGAAGATGGGGCAATCTACTTCCATAGTGATAACTGCCTCGGAAACCCAAGGAGGGGTCGCTATGAGTCGGGTCCGACTCGACAGCACATAACAACAACAACAACATATTGATGAGTACATGAATGGGTGTATATTATTTACAAAAGCAAAACTTTCAATGTCATATTATGAAGAAAATAATCAGCATAAATCTAATTCCCACTTTTTCACTTCTCTGACACCAGCTGCAACATGCATCATTTTTCTCTCTGATAGCCAACTGGAGCTAGGTCATTTCTCTCAGCTAAAAGGACATCATCCTTCAGGCTGTCAAATAGACATCAATCACAAGTTTGGGGGGCCCTAGAAGCTCCCTTCATTTTTGACCTGCTGGCCATAGGTTCAGAGGGTTTCCTTCTACCCATTCTAGATGCCAGTTTAGGGATCCTTACATCTGATTTGTTGGTTCCTACTACTTCCTCAGGTTCAGTAATTCACTGGAACAACTCAGAACTCACAGAAATTGTCATAGTTCAGATTACAGTTTTATTATAAAGGAGAGAAATCAGAATCAGCATAAAGAAGAGATGCAGATGATCCAGCAAGATGGCGGACTAGGCAGAAAGACTGCACAGACCCTCTTTAACAAAGAAAAGGGAAACCAATTAACACAGACAGAAGATAATCCTGGCCCCCTGAGCCTTGAAGGGAAGGATAAAGAAGTGGACTAAACCCCAACTAGCAGAAGAATTTGAGTGAAAATACCAAAAAAGGAGATGGAGCCGCAGTCTGGCAGCGATCCTGAGCGATCCTGACGGCACAGATAGCTTGGAGATTCCCAAGTGGTG